GACATGATAGGTAGAAATCGAGCACCCTTCAACACATTGTTAAATGTTTCTGAGAAGTTCGTAGTACATATCCCATATCTACGACCAGCATCGTGAAACAAAGACCACATAGGCAAGGGCACTTGGACAATATACTATATGGCCTTGGTACACGCCTGATCGATCAAACTCATATCAGCTACCAGTTTTCTTTCCTGCCTTTGGTACGCAGCAGCCTTGAACATATCTCTCATGTCGTTTCTTCGCACGTGAGTCTTCAAGTTAGAAGCCAAGTGCCGAACACAAAACCTGTGATAGGCTCGCGGATCAGTGAATCCAACGTTAGGGTCATTCATTGCTGCAATGATCCCAACATGTCGATCAAATATAACACAGAGGCCATCCCGTTGAGTGACATGAACCCGAATGCAGCCCAGAAACCAAGACCAGCTGGAAATGTTTTCCCCTTCGACTATCGCAAATGCAAGCGGAAATACTTGGAAGTTTGCATCCACACCTGTATCAACCAACAATGTTCCTTTAAATTTCCCGTACAAATGCGTCCCATCGATATAGATGACAGACATACAATGTTTAAAATCTTCAACACAAGGGCCGAAGGCCCAAAATACTCGTTCAAACACTTCCATGTTGCTGTAATAAACATCGTCTACCAGAGCTTTGTGTTTCCATACAACAACAGTTCCCGGGTTTGATTGTTTGAGTGCTTCCATGAAGTGCGGAAGTCGGCCATAAGAACTCTCCCAATCTCCAAATACTCTTCAGCTATGGCTTTCTCCCTAACATACCATGCTCTTCGATAAGTAACGTCGAACTGAAAATGCTTGGATATGAGTTCCTGTATAAATTCAACTTTCAAGCATGGATCTTTCTGCACAAAAGACTTCACAAAATCGGAAATTAAGGATGAATCCAAGTGTGCATGATCTGTAGATAACACTTCAGTGACACAGGTGTCCCGGTGCGGGCCTTTGTATGTGACTATGGTAAAGGTATCTGAGTGCTCACTTTTTTTGGTGCCTCGTAGCGACCAACCACAATTCTTCTTGCACCGCAGATGAAGGACCTTCTCATTCGAGGTCACTGTGGTGTAGAATTGGTTCCTTTGTATAGAATACTTCTTCACCATTTCCTGAAGCATTTTCTTAGATTCAAAGAACATACCCTTCTCAAACTCCCCCCCGATCACAAATGTTGTATGACTACCTGATTCGGCCCAATAGTGATCAACCTAATAATTCTCATTTACTTGACTTAACCAAGGAATAGGAGTTCTAACCATGGCCTCCCCACCTTCCATGTCTGTAGAATCAACATCCATGTTATCCAGAATTGGTTCCTCCTCTCCGCTCTCAGCCTCATCATTTGTTTCCCGGAGCGCATCATACAGAGACAACTCGTTATTCGCCATATGTTGTAGATTTTCAAGATGATTCACCAATGGTTGAGACGGTGATGTATGATCATCATGCTACGTAGGTGAATAACTTTGGAGTTGCATGGGAGAAGATATAACTGTGTTCGATGTCGAAGGCCCAGATTGGCCAAACATTGTTGTAGATGTTCCACCATATACAGGTGAAGCTATATGTGAACTCAACGGCATCTGGAACCGATCATCATGAAGCAGTCTGGTGAAGGACCCCATCCCATATTCAGTTGATGGAATGTCTTGTGAGGGCATTCGGAAGGACTCTGTGTAACCGGAAAAATAGGTAGCTTGTTGATCTGGTCGAGTACTTTGTTGCGTACACGCAGACACTATTTCTACATATATCTCATGTGGATAACCCCTCATTAAAACAGCGCTCCTCAAAGCTTTCAAATGTCTATCGTTAGAACAAGGTAACACTTGAACCGCATTATTAGTCTCAAACCTCATTTGAATGTTAAGTTGTACATTCATTCGGTTTAAGCCGATAATGCTATGAACCTCGTTCATCAGATCGTTGAAAGTCATGTCTGGTCCAAGTGGCAATGGTTCCATATTTCTACCACTATACTGGACATTCGGTCCATCAGACACAAATTCACCCCTCCATCGGCATAACAAAGCTGCGTTTTGTGCAGCCATATTCTATACAACAACCAAAAACACATCTTAATTGCATGCAATCTCCACCAATTCGCACAATAACAACCAAGAAATTCACACTACAAACATAATTAACCATCATTGTTCCAATTCACATAACAACCAAAACAAAGTACACAACGAACATATTCACACTAACAACCAACGTATTCTACATAACATAATTTTCGTAATTAAACGACAATGTAGGCTATTTTATCAAATTAAAACAACAATTTCATCAACAATATCAACAATTTCATCAACATTTTCAACATTTTTACCAAACATTTCCACAATTTCATCATAAACTTTCTTACTAAACTAACATCAATTTAGGGCTTTTATACTAAACTATTATCAAATTACAACAAACTAACTTAGAATTATCAACATAATTATCAATTTACATCAAACTAACTTAGAATAATCAACAACATTATCAAATTAAAACAATGTACTATATAATTATCAAACTAACCTAGGTTTTAAAATTTTAAAAACAAATAAGTGAGAAGTACCAAAAATGTGATTATAAAGAAGAGGAGAGGCGCGGCGGCAGCAGGCAGCAGGCGGCGGCGGCAGCGGCAGCGACGACGACGGCAGAGCTTTGAGGAAGAGTGAGTTTGAGTTTTTAGTTTTGAGGAAGAGTGAATGCGTTGCGTCTGTCTAGAAGAATATACCAGGCAAAACCGCTGACTGAGGCAGCGTGTTTCTAGTATTAATGAAACGCTGCCTCAGTCAGCGTTTTAAGGCCTGTTATAGCCTAACACGAAAACGCTGACTGAGGCAGCGTTTTTGTGTATTTCAGTTTTTTTTATTTTTTATTTTTTATTTTGTATTTCACAAAATACATAATTCAAAACAAATTAAATAAATAAAAATGAGGAAAAACGCTGACCGAGGCAGCGTTTTACCTCAGAAGCTTAGTTTCGTAAATAGTTTGGCCACGCGTCTATATTCGTAAATAGTTTACTAATAAGGCTTAGTTTCGTAAAAAATCCTAATTCAATGATATATCCAACTAATAAAAGGTGGACAAATTTGGTGAAGCTGGACGTTAGAATTTTTAACTTGAAACAACAAATGAAAGAAATTGCAATTTTGTTACTTTGGAATCACAAATTCTTGATTAAGGCTAACAAATTTGTCAAAAACTTTACAAACTTGATTGTCACAAAAGTTCAAGACATATTTGATTATTAAGCCTTTCATATATCGACTTTTAGAAAAAAAGAAATTAACTATACATCATAGTCTCAAAGATATATTAGCTGTGAACATGTATTTATTACCGTCTCCGTTTTATATTATTTGCAACTTTAAACCCGCACGAACTTTTAGATAAAATTTATTTATGAGTGTAAATGGAAAGAAGAAAATACGGATACATATGATAAAAAGAGAGATCGAAAGAAATGACAACTTAAAAAAGAAAGAAAATATCTATTGCATGTAGTATCCATTTTTGACAAAAATTACAAATAATATGTTAGTATGATGTCTACTACAAGAGGGGGGTGAATTGTAATTTATAAAAAAATATGAACTTTATGAGGAAATTAAACTAATTATAAAAGGAGAGAACACACGAGATGGCTTTTCGAATTATTTCACTATGCAAAAACTCATTTACAACTGTGATTCAGCCTACACTTAAGTTCTTCTAGGAACTCAAGTATCCCAACTAGGGTCTCTCAACCATAGCTTTACACTCGCTGTGATTCGACTCTGAATCACTTATACTTTGTGATAGACTCACTCAAGCCTCACAATTACAACTCTCACAAACCCCAGTCCCAATACAAAAGTAATTACAGACTTTCCTAATGCACTTAGAAAGATTAAAGCAGGAAGGAACTCAGGTCTAACACTTTGAAAACTTAACGCTCAGAAAACTAAATTGTTTTTCCACACTTAAATCAGATTCGTTGATAGCTTTTTATAGAGAGAAGGAAAGTCTCAATCTTTCTTCCCACTCCTCCCATTAACCACGTTCTACCTTAACTTTGGAAGTTAAGAACGTTGGATAGGAAGTGGGAAGTGGATCTCCCTGACTTTCCTCTCAATCCATCAACGTTGTTTCCTTGAAAATAGGCAGCCAGTTTAACTTGGTCAAAAATCAGTTTGAAGGATAATTATTAAAAAAAAAAAAATTATTATTAAAAAGATGTTTTAAAAAAAAACTTTTAAATAATTATTTAATTTTAAAATAATAAACTTATCTTTTAAATCAAAGAATTATTTATCTTTTATTTATTTGCAAAATATATCTTTTCAAAACTGATTTTATTCTATCCTTATTTCAAGGACTTTAAAACTGATTTAAACTTTACGTTAAAATCTTTTTCTGATTACGACATTAAGTTCCTTACGAAACACAAGGTTCCTTACTAAGTTCCTCTACACATTAATACTCTAGTGCTTACAGAGAATCTAAGACTGGACTTTGATCTTTTTTCTTGAAAGCTTGCATATTCATCATCAAGACTTCCAATCTATTTGCTCCTACTCCGGAACATGTTGTTTGTACCTGAATCTTTTTATTTTACCAAGACTTAACACACAACATTAGTCGAAGTTTGTTTTGTTATGTCAATCATCAAAATACTAAGAGGGTCAACATAATATCAAAAAGGTAATATAATAATTCTTTTGTAAAAACAAAAACAAATCCTACTCGATCACTACGTGACGAATATTATATGATTGAGCAAGCTAAGGTCTCTAGCTAGACTAAGCTAACTAGTAGTATAAAGTGCGAAGAAGAAACCACTTAAAAATGGTTAATTAAAAAGCACACATTCTTTTTGAGTTGCACTTACACAAACAATTACTTCTTCTAGTAGTTTATCGTGATACAGAATTTTATTTTTTTTATTTATTTTTATAGAAGAAACACACACACACTTAAAAAAAAATAAAAATGAATCGAGGTGATGATAGTGGGAAACTTTTCAAGGCTGCGTTGAACGGCGACGTGAGCCATATTGAGGAAGCACTAAGTGAGGAAATTGAAAATAGTAATGAAGAGTATTTTCTGAGGACAACCGACATAAAACAACAAAATATTCTTCACATAGCAATCTTATATCAGCAAGATGCTTTTATTAAAAAAGTTGTAGGGGGGTTATTTTTGCGAAGATCAGCAATAGACAAGCTGATCTATCAGGCAAAGACAAAGACAAAGATACCCCTCTTCATGTTGTAGCAGAGGAGGGAAACATCAAGATTTTGAAGCTGCTCATTGAATATGAAAAGGGGAAGCAGGAGTCGAAGGCGTCGGCGGGTTCGTGTTCGAGTTTGCAGAACAAAGACGGCAACACGCCATTGCATGTTGCACTTCTTAACCGCAATGTTGAAGTTACTGAATTGTTGGCGAAGCATTATCCTGAGATGGCTGGTGTAACCAACCATGATGGAAACACCCCTCTTCATCTTGCGGCAGAGTTGAGCAATGCTAGCGTTTTCGTTCAGTTCCTTGCTGAATATGAGAATTGGCAGCAGATGTGGAGGTTGCAGAATGAAGAAGGTAACACAGCATTACATGTTGCAATAATCAATAACAGGTTCAAGATTGCTACATTATTGCTGGAACGTGATCATGAGCTTGCTAGTCTTACCAACAAAGCCAAGGAGACGCCTCTTCATCTTGCAATTATCGAACAACAAATTTTTGGTAACTACTCCATCTCTATATCTCACTAATACAGATATATTTATATATTTTGAAACAATATTAATAGCATTAATATATTCAGAAAATAAATTCAGAAACCTGGCCATTATGGATTCGGATCTTGAGAATGCCGTAAAAATTGGTGACTTGAACTTCCTAAAGAACGCGCGAGAAAAAGAAATAGATAATGGCGAATATTTTGTGGGGCAAAACCTCTTTGATGGAGACAATATCCTTCACATAGCTGTCCAATTAAAGCATTATGAATTCATAAAAGAAATTACAAGAAAGAGGTTATCGCCAAGATCAATAATCAGTAAACTGATGAGTCAGAGTAACAATGACGGTAATTCTCCTCTTCATGTCGCCGCAAAGGTGTGTGACGACATCCCCTTTTTTAAGTTGCTCTTAGAGTATGATGAGCATGATGGGCAGTTTGAGATGAAGAATGCAAACGGTTTCACGCCCTTTCATGTTGCAATTCTCAATAACAAGCTTAAAATTGCGTGCTGTTTTATGCCTAGTCCTCTTTTTAGTTTGAGGTTTATGGTATTAATACTTATGATACTAGTTTAATAGAATTGTTGGTGGAGAAAGATAGCACTGTGACGTGTTGGCATGACAGTGACGGCTATACACCTCTGCATAGAGCGGCTTTCCTCACCGCGAGTTTTTTTGTGCAAGTTGCCGGGAGTCTGCAAAGTTGGCTGATGAAAATTATGGCAAAACCATCCTACACTGGATGATAGATAGGATACCTACCTTGCAAAAAGGCAGAGAGCGGCTAAAACTTAAAGAAATTGAAGACCTTGTGGAATTTAAGGATTATCAAGGAAATAAACCATTAGATTTAGCTTGGAAATTTAACTTTAAAGTGGTGCGAGTCTTATTAGATAAATCACTGCGATCAAAAGGAAAAGTTGATGACAAAGATAGTAGTTCAACCTCTCACCTTCAACGACCAAGTGATTTCGATCACCAGGAATGATTTTCATCGTTATGCCTTCTTTTTTCCATATATAATATGATCGATTACCAATACATAGAAAGTTGCTAAAAAGAAGCGATGATAATTAAATTAAATTAGATTTAGCTTTGAAATTGAGCTTTAAATTGGTGCGACTTCATGAAGCACTCAAAGCAAATCATATTTTACCACTTTATTCGAACGACATATTGGATGATGTCGGCACCATTATTGGTAATGAGGATCTTACCCCGAACTTGAGAGCTGTTCAAGCTGGTAACGTACAGATAGTTAAGGTATTGGATGATCTTAACAAAGAAGGGTCGGAAAAGGTTGACAAAGATGGGCGGACACTCTGGCACATGTTAGTGAATCAACCATCATCCATGACGCGGAAACTTTTAGAAGATTTTGCAAAAAAACAATATGTGATAGATTTGTTGAAAAAGACTGACAACAAGGGTAAAACGGCATTGCATCTGGCGCTTGAATCTCGACTCTTTACCCATGCTCGTCTCTTTATGCAGTGCTCACCATTTGATCATAAAGAATTATCTCCTAAGCAGTTGGAATTTATAAAAGAACTTCTAGAAATAAAAGACGGAGATGGTGTCACTCCCGGCGACCAATTAGCATCTATTCCAGACCTTCCACGAGACGTAAGTACACTTCTACCGTACCATACTAATTAATTACTTATATATTATGATAATACGGAGTAGTTATTGAGTCAATTTTAACAAAAGTCCACATGAATGTGTTTTTCCTTAGATATAGTACACAAAAGAAGGTCAAATGAGAAGTGGTGAATAATGTAATAGTCAAACGGGTCAAATAAAAATAATTGCAAAAACTATGCTATGCAATTATGCCACCTAGACTTCTATACTGGATTGTTTAAGCCTTTTTTATTTCTTATAAAAAAAAATTATTATTTAAACATTGTTTTTTAATTATAAGCGTGTAACTTTTAATAAATCAAGTACTTGTTACGTGCATCTTCATTACTAGTAGTTTTAAGTTTTATATAAGACGACTTAATTTTGTGCTTGCCATCTTACGCTTATCATCGTTGCTCTTTTCTCCCAACTCTCCTTCCGCATGTCAAGGGTTGATTCAAATTTTGGTTTTTGAAAATTGAGTCTAATATGATGTAAATTTTACAATAGTCATTTGAAACATGAATATCAAAATTTTTAAATTTGGTGAATTTTGATTAATGGATTGCTTGATTTTTTTAATGCCTTAATTAATTAAAAATTATTTTTTCTAATTTCTAAAATTCAATATTCTAAAAGTCATTATATACTAATAATTTTAATTTTCAAAAATCTTTATTTTTTTCATAATTAATTTCTGAAATGAAATTAAAAAACAAAATCAGAAAATCAAAATTAAAAAATATTCTTCATTGTTCTTCATCCAAAATCAAAATTATCTTCAAACATTTGTCAATTTCGTTCATCAATCCGCTCCACAATTTCACGTTTTCGTCTCGGTTTAACCATTTCGTTCATCAATTCATTCAAATCGTTTCATTGTCCCGAAATTCGATAATTAGTGATTCATTTTGCAAATTTTCTAGAACAATGTCTTCGTAAGATATTTCGTTAGATTATTGAAGAAATAACGAATGAAATCGTTAGAAATAATGAATGAAATCGTTAGACTAATGACTATCTAATTTCACCGTTTCTCTTTTCTCTTAACTCTCCTTCTGCAGGTCAAGGGTTGTTTTTTTGTATGTACTAGTTTGGTATTCGGATTTTGGTTTCGAAAAAATGAGTCCAATTTGATACAAAATTTCTCAAAATCTAATCCGAGCCAATTTGAAATAGATTATGGTGGTTGGGGTCTAAGTTGAACTCCAAATTAAATTAAACTAGAAGTGATCAACTATGGCTCGGCCCGATTTTTCCAAAAGTCGGGCGGATTTGAGCGGATTATATATGGCTAGACTCTAGTCTAGGCATCTTAGCCTACACCCCTCCCTAAACTCATCGTTTAACACCCCTTCCCCAAATACTCACTTTTACAGTAACTACATAGTAATATCCGTACTATTTCCCCCACCCCATATATACATAAGAAAAAAAAACCATTATCATTTCACTTTCTCTCTCCTCACCCATTTTCTACATTTTCTCTCTCTACATCTATTTTTTGCATTTTCAAATATGAAATTTCTATAAATTTGTGACAAATTATCAAAAAAAATTGTTCAGTTACTACATAATTCAACTAATCAAGGTCGAAATTCAAAGGAGTAAGTGATTTTGTTCATATTTAGTTCAAAAAAGAATATAAATGAACCCTAGTTTTAGTAATTTTTTTGTTGCAATTGTGTTACAGGATCATCATCGAAGTATAAAACATAGAAAAAGATTATGAACTATTGCATTTTAGTAATTTTTACTAATTTTCGTTTAAAAACTAGTAATCTGAACAAGTAGCTTTTCATTTTTGGGTATGAACTATGAAGTATTCTCTCTTTTTTTTGGGCAGTTGAAGGAAATAGTTTCAGAGAAGAACATCAAAGAATCTGGAGAAAAGTAAACATTAATTGAATTAGTTTGTAGCGTTTCTTTTTTACTGAATGTTCATTTTCGTTTCAATAAATGTTCATTTATATACTAGTATACAATCATTCACATGTTAATAGATGATTAATATAAATATATTACTACATTTATATATCACAACATAGTCATTGTATTAATGTTAATTCTTTTTCATAGTTTGGAGTGGAAAATTATTACTACATAGTCATTGTATATATAAATGTCATTCTTTTTCATAGTTTGGAGTGGAAAGTGATTTTAGATGAATATTCGGTTGTATTTTGGTAGATGTTCAATCGCATAAAAGTATATGGTTTTCACATATTAATATACGATTACTAGAATTTTGATAAATATTTATATTTTGGTCATCTTCTTCAAATATTTCATGCTCGGTTAAATTTTGAGTTTCAACATATGTCTTTTTCAGATGGATGTATGATAAATCACATATTGATAGCTTCAAGTGTTATTTACGTATATATTTCATGTTCATCGATTGATATCTTTCATAGGCATTTTTAAACTAATGCATGTTCATTTATATATTAATAGATGTACATTTTCATATTCAATTATGTAAATATGTTCATTATTGTATTAATAGTTGTTCATTCCATATTAATAGATGATCAATTCTACAAATATATATGTTCATTTATATATTAATATATGTTCATTTCCATATCGATCATTTCAATTGTTATATTTTCATATTCATATGAAAATTGGTTCATTTCAACACTTATTCTTGCTCAAATCTAACTAAAAAAATCTTGTTTTTGTCGATTAGTTAAACAAAGAATCGTGGATATTTAGCAAGGAAAAAAAAGAAAGATTAGACGACAAAAATAAGGAAATCAAGAATGCATGGATTCGCGCAACATCAATATGTGTAGAATTGAATTGTATATTTAATATTCAATAGTTTAATTTTTGGTGATATACAATTTCTATTTGATTTTAATAAGAAGGATATAAACTATTTGTTTCCCAAAGTATTATTACAAATCACATCGTTCAAAAGCAAACATTTAAATAGTATATATATAATACTAATATTTTTTTACGACTTTGAACCATCATTCACTAACTATATTAGAATATGTTCATAAACACACCTTAACGATCAATAGGAAACTGTACAAAAGTTAAACATTCAGTTCTTGTATCAAGTCACTCATAGGATCTAATATTTCTACACTTATTATCTTTATAACCCCTTATTAGAACAAATAAATCCTTTCATAAAAAATGAGCCATCCTTTCGCCTCTTACTCCTCCTAACTCTGATCCCAAACCTTTCATAAAAGCATACTCATTATATATTTCATAAGCATCATCTACCGAAGGAAATTTTTTCCTCCGAAAATCAAAGTGACTTGCTTCTTCAAAAATAACAGCATCCTCTATTCCCACTGCAATAATTAAAAATGTAATAAATGAACAAATACAGTAGCAATAATGGTCAATTACAATAATGCATTTGATCAATTACAGTAAAATTACCATATGTAAAAATATATATGATCATCTATAGTTACATAACTGAACATTATTAATGAAACTACAAAACAGTGATAATCATTAAAAGTTGCATGTACAACTTATAATTCCATAAACACAAGTGTATATATAAATGAACATTTATAATTGCATAATTGGACATTATTACAACAAAACAAAATAACAAATGTTAAACTATTTTTTTTGAGGGAATAAATATTAAAATATGTTCACTAGTTAAAATTTACATGAGCATCTTTAAAAGAATGAAAATCATTCAAATTTACATGTACAACATATATTTTCGTATACGACTACAATAAACCTATAGTTTACTACAGAAACATACATTAAACATAAATGAACATTTACTATTACACAAGTGATCATTTTTTTTACTAAAAGTATTTTTAAACGATACACCAATGTGATAAAAATAAACGATTTGGCAAAATAATATTTAGTGTTCAATTTTGTAGCACATAATGTTTGTGCCTTTAAAGCTAATATTTTAAGTAAAATTTAATAAACAAGTTATAGTATTTAGTGTTCAATTTTGTAGCACATAATGTTCAATTATATAACACTTAATGTACTGTTTATTTTAATAACAATTCATTTTCATTAACATGTAGGCTAAATCACAAGGTTGGGGATGCAAATTGCAATACACTGCTCAACTAATGCTACTGAAGAAAAACCATGAGTCTAAGAATAATAGAATAACATCAAGAAGATTTGCAAAGGCATAATATAATATGTTCACTTATGGATAGATATATGTCCATAGCTGGTTGATAAAACTTATACTTCGTAGATATTATTTGTTAACAGAATTACTCTATGTGATTAACTATTTAATTTTATACGTTTAAAGTTTGATACAGAGTAGATATTATTTGTTTATAGAATAATTCTTACAATTTTATATGAAAATTGCGGATTTTATGTAAAGTATTATGTTAATCAATTTTGATCATTCACAAAAGCTAAATGATTCTTTACAAAAACTTAATGATCATTTTTAAAAACTAAATGCTCAATTACAAATACTAAAATATTCACTTATAGAAGATTTAAAAAAAATTAATATTCAATAAGAAGAATAGTACTTAATAACAAGGCAAAAGCTAATGAGCTCCCCCGGGGCGTTAGATAAGAGAATTAAAGTGCAAATATTAGAGTAAAATTAACATTAATTGCACCGAACGACGCATGATTTTGTCATGAATTCCTAACTTAATACTATTTCAACCAATATAATTTAACCTTATCTAACGCCCCGGGGCGCTCGTTAGCAAGATCCAAATAACAAAAGGTTAAAGATATTCTTATAAATATTAGAGCCATTTGAGCATTTATAGGAATTTTTACATTTTTGGAAGATAATGGGAGGAAGTTGAGCACTTGATCTTTTGAACACTAGTAGCAACTTGATTATTTGCTTGACCATATAATTGGAATTTGAACACATTTCATAAACTTCATCAGCAGTTTTAAATTGTTTCGTTCCCCACTAACTCAGACTTACTTGCTTCTTCAAAAATAATAATATCCTTTTTTCCCACTGCAATAATGTAACATGTAATAAATTACATTAGCAATAATGTTCAATTATAATGATGCATTTGGTCAATTACAGTTGAATTACCAAATGTAAAACATAAATGATCATCTATCGTCATATAACTGAACATTATTTCTGAAACTACAAAATAGTGACATTAAAAAAAGTCACATGTACAACATATAATTCCATAAACACAAGTATATATATAAATGAACATTTATAATTACATAAATGAACATTATTACAACAGAACAAATATAAAATATATTCACTAGTTAAAATGTATATGAGCATTTATAAAACAATGAAAATAATTGAAATTCACATGTACAACATAAGTATTCAAATACAACTACAATAAACATATACAAGTATTTTAATACATAAAAAATACATTAAATATAAATGAACATTTACTGTTACAGAAGTGATCATTATTTTAACTAAGATTATTTTTTTACGACGCACAAAATTGGTAAAAATAATCGAATAGCAAAATTAAAACAACAATATATACTCATACGAAATGCACAAAACTGGAATAAAGAACAATCAAAAATACAAAAAAAAACCCCGAATTAGATGAACAATACAAACTAAATTATTAATCAACTAATAACAACAATAACAAAACCAAAGCATTATCAAAATTAAAGTCAATACAACAAAAACTATGAAATCAGATCATTATAATCATCCAATTACAATTGTAAAACAAAGCATTATCAAAACAATTGACTAATTATCATTAAAAGTAAGAATTACTTATATTGATCTCCATGAAAGAAGAGAGAGAAAATTGAAAAACAATAAATCAAAAAAAAAACCAGGAGAGAGAAAATGAAATTGGTGAAAAAGAGGAGAGAGAAAATGAAATTGGTGAAAGAAATGAGAGAGAAAATGAAGTCTATAAAAAAAACAACACTCAAATAATAACATTACAATAAAAAAAATACAAAAACAAAAACAAAAACAAAAAAAACAATCGAATTAGAAGAACAATACAACCTAAATTATTAATCAACTTATAACAACAACAATAATACCAAAACCAGAGCATTATCAAAATTAAAATCAATACAACAAAAACTATGAAATCAAAACATTATAATCATACAATTAGAATCATAAAACAAAGCATTATCAAAATCGATTGACTGATTATCATTAAAAGTACGAATTATTTACATTGATCTCCATGAAAGAAGAGAGAGAAATTTAAAAAACTATAATAAAAAGAAAAAACAAGAGAGAGAAAATGATATCAGTGAAAAAGAAGAGAGAGAAAATGAAGCAAATGAGGTTTGTAAAAATGTTTATATTCTTGTTTGAATTGAAAGCAAAGAAGGAAAGGAAAAAAAAAAAATACAAAAAGTGCTACTAGATAAAACGACGTAGTATAGAAAGGGGGGTGTAGGGGAAGCTGCATACATTAGAGTCTAGGGAAAAATTTGTAGATTTGAGCAAGCTTAAAAACACAATTTTAGTTAAAAAGCCTGCTCCCGACCCAAAAAGTCTGCCATTTTTTTTTTGCAGGTTTAAGCATGCATGAGATTTCATATTAAGGTCCGACCCGAATTTTGATCACCACTAAATTAAACTGTAATTTTTTTACCAAAGTGTAAAAGAGGGAAAGAAAAAAAAAAAAAAAAAAAACCTATCTCATGGTAAGTAATTAAACAATAGTTTTGAAAAATGAAAAATGAAGCTATTGATGGCTTAGAGCCAAAGGTTGAAATATTAAATACTAGAGTTATATGCATGCCGCAATGCGCGCAATAAATTATAAAAATCAATTATTTTAACTATTTGATACGAATTTATCATATGTATAGATGTAGATCTCTCAAGACTCACAAGGCTTGCAAGGTATAATTATATTGGACATTTGGATACATTTTAGCAAGAACTAAAAAAAATTTTATACAAAAATGAAAGGGACGTACTTTTATTCTTGTAAGAGTAGACAACTTTTTTAACCACAACTAGAAGATGATCAGAAGTCGCAACAACTGTATCATGCAATTGTGTTGTGCTAGCTACGTTTACTCTAGACAAAGAAATTTTATGTACTAATATAATCACAATAAACAATAGTGGCCAGATAGGAAGACGAAGATAATGTAACAAGCTTCGACGGTCAGAAAGCATAACAACACAGTACAATCAGTCATTATTTTAGCTGACCAAAAAAATCATGAGCTAGGATTAAGTATACAGGTACCATTTTAGGACAAAAAATATCTATGTTCACACTGTAAATACCCAACATATCCTTACTTTTTCACACTTACTTTTTATTTTATTTTTACTGACAATTTGTATTCTTACTTGTTCCCACTACCAAATTTTGCCTCAAAAACTCATATGATGCAATAAAAAAAAACGGAGGAAGTATTATATATATTATGTTAGTACATTATGAACCACCCGAAATTTTTGTATGTTAATAAAATTAGGTGTGTTACATTGACAAATAAACAAGTGCTCTACTTGTCAGAAAAAACAAAAAAATCAAGTGCTCTAATTTGACTAGACACATCTGCTGACAAAGACATTAAGTCAATAATATCTTTAATTATCAAAACATATAAATTATATCAATTGAATATTAATAATCTATACATTAAGACGATTCCAGCAAGTATCCTATAAACACATGATCATATTTTTTCTTATGCACAAATCACTAACATTGGTCAAAGTAGATCAAGTCAATAGTCAAAAAGTCCTAACGAAACCTTTTAAAAAACGGAGGGATTTACTTGTAACACTTTCCATTTCACATTTGTCAATGCAATATTTCAATCATACATATATCTTTATTTACCAATAAGTAGTAAAAACTATGAAAAAAATATAATATAAAATTCATATACCGAGATGGATCAAACAAGACCCTAAATGACTACGTTTTTCTTTAACTATAAATCATTATAGCCGATCAAAGTGGAGTATGTAAATAGCGTATAGAGTATAGTCTAAGTGGTGTAATTTATTTATTTATTTATTTTTTTTGAAAAAAATAAAAAGCCCGAAGGAAGGGATATAGGATGCATAAAAAGCCATGGATTAATATGAGAGCGTAAAATTTGGTTAGAATTATTGGTAAAGATAATTTCAATGTAGTCAGTTTGCTTTAGATATTACTCCCTCCGTTTTTAAATATTTGCTCTATTTCTCTTTGACATATATGTCGAATGTTAATTTTTGATTAATAATATCTTTAATTATCAATAAGTATAAATTCTAGCAATTGAAAATTATAAATTGGTAAAACGGCCTAAAACAAAAAAAAAATGAACACAATCGGGAGACTTTCAAAGGAAAAAGTCAACGAAGTAAGAAAACTTATGACCCTTTCCTTTTCCCTCCACCATCCGTGCACATCTGCATCGCCACCTTCTTCCACCACCCACTTTCGCTTACTCAGCCCGTGCAGCCGCGCCGCACGGCCTCCATCTTCCTCTCTCTCCTCCCTCAGAATGAGATCCTCCGCCGCTGACGGTGGAAAAATTGGCAGTTCCGGCGATGTTTCTGCTACTGAACTGGACCCCATTTTCAAGCAGAAACGCCTCATTCGATCCAAAGTTCGTAAATCCCTCAAGGAAATGGACCCTTCTCACCGCGCCATGGAAGGTATTAAAAAAAGTCTAATCTTTCTTCAATTCTTGTTGATTTGATTGTATTTGTGAATTGGGGTTTTAGTAGAATTGCTTAATTTGTTGGTGTATTGATGATTAGATTGGGGGATTTGAGTGGAGTGTAACTGGCGGTAGGAATTGGGTATTTTGGAAGTTTGATCATGTGAGTAGTTAATTCTGAATGTGATTAATTCTACTTTGTTTCTGAATTTGTAAATTTTAGTTGGATATACACATTATTGGATCATTTACCAAGAGAAATTTAGTTTTTTTTAGAATATTAGAGGAACAATTTAATAAAATTGCACTCGTTTCGGTCATGTAGGACAGCAGGAGGGAGTCGTTAAATACCTTTTTGTGAGGTGATAACCTGATCTTTAAGTAGTGAAGGAATGGGGAGCATTGATGACCCCGGTCAGAATTACTAATTCGAATAACAATATTGATGTGACTATTAATTCTGGGCGAAGGAAGTATAGAGTAGCATTAATTTTTTGTGTATGGCAAACTGTTTGGAATCACTATTGTGTCCTAAACTGTACTTGTACTAAATTGTATTCATGTTAGCGCAAACTGCATAATATGGTCAATAGTGGGGGGGGGGGGTGTTAAATTCATGATAACGTCGATAAATTTTTTCTGATTACATCAATTTTATTACTGTACATAGTTTCATTTAGGACCAGCACTGGAGTCTAGTTTGATCAATTTGAAAAATTATACTTTTTGATGAGGGGTTCGGTCATATTCTGGTTCCATTTGGTAATGAAAGTGTGTGGATAGAAGTTATTGTAAGCACATCATGATCTACTTGGTTGCACCTCAGTCTTTCTCTTGCAAGAAGTAATAGAAACACATAACGATCTTTATTTAATTCCTAGAATCAGAAAAGCTCTAAATTTACTCTAAAAGTGCAGCCTAGTTGCAAACTCATGCTTACCAAACACAAATACACTCTTCTTATTTCTCATTGACAAATGAAAGAATACAAGAAGAAGTCACCTCTTTGGTTTGCACTATAAGTTGAATAAGGTTCTTTAATTCCTATGCAAAAATTGTCTCCTTAGGCATCATTTCAGAATAAACCAAACTGGGTGAGATCTTTGATAAAGTTATGTTTAAATATGTTGTAGCATTCTCTGGATTAATCTCATATAATCAATGTGGGTTGGTTCTTTGTTATTATTGCGTGCTAAAGATATTTGGCGGGTTGGTCCTTGTGGCATGGTGTGATGATTCAACTTATAATGATCCTCTTGATCACTGCACAGAATTCTTGAGTAACTATAACCTGCAAAACCTAGAAAAGTCAATGCTCTGGTATAAACTCATTGTAATTTTACGGGAGAAGAATTGAGTAACTTGAGGAGTGCTCCATTCTGATATTTGTCCTGCATAGTGATGTGGTTTAACATCGAAAATATCTGCAATAGTGGGTTTCACTGCTTGACGACAGTTTTACCACCGTTGCTTGCTTCTTCCTGCTGCCGTCCTTTTTCTGAATTTCATATGTATAAATTGTCATCACATTAATAGGTTACTGTTACCTGACTCACGTATTTTGTATAATTGACTTTCTACTTAGATGATGCAATTCAGCGTTTGGTACTGGATGCTCCATGGTTTAAATCTAGCAAAAGGTTATGTGCATATATAAGCTGCCGTGCCTTACGAGAAGTTGATACATCTAAAGTTTTGGCAAAGATTTTACAGACTTCAGACAAAGGTTTGGCTCTGTACTTTATCCCTTAAATCTTAACTTCAAGAACTCTAGTATTTGGCAGTATAATGATTCTTGCTGAAGGTCAATGATGTGAAATTAATCAAGAATGTTAATTCGTACTTGATTAATAATTTGTCTTTTAAGGTCTGGAAGTGACAGCATTCATAAAATTTACCATTGGCACCTATTAAGACCATTAATGTGGAAGTTTAACATGTACTCTATCTTTTATTTGGTTATTGGTGAATCTGCTTTCTTAGTCTTAAAAGCGCTGGTTCAATACCCTTCAGTTTCTTTTGACAATTGTAAACTTTAGTTTTGGCTTGCAGATGAACAGAAACTCGAAGGGAAAACGCTTTATGTGCCAAGGGTGGAGGACAAGAACAGCTATATGCGGATGCTCAACATCTCTAGCATGGATGATCTAATTGCAAACTCAATGGACATTCTGGAACCTGCTCCTGTAGATAGTGGAGGAAATGAACGTGAAAATGGTAGCTTATATATCTAGCTTGTTATTGACTCAATTCTGTTTTTATATGCTGTGTTGTTTAGGTGACTTATCCGTGGCATTTAACTGAATGAACTAATTATATCTATGTCATGAAGTTTACTGTAATTTGGTTTGACTGATGGTTTTAACTGCTAGCTTTTCTACAGCTTTGTATTGGGTATGAATAATAATGATTCATTCGCTTCAGTACCTAGTCCAAGTATATTGTTACATTTTCTTCAGCTGTACATATTCATTCTTGGTTTTCTCATGTCTCAAATCCACTCTTTACTAGATTATCTGTTTTAACATAAAAGCAAGAAGTCAAATGTCCGTATCATTCTTGTTTGGTTCCACAAGTAGGGATATATTCATGGTGTTCAAGTGAGAAAGTTGATGTAAGGGGGACAGGTGTCTAAATCTAATTTGTGTAGCATAAGTATATGTGGTAAAAAAATTCTTCATTTTATATATATGCTGTATTTAGTAGGCCATTAGCATCTTTTGGTTTTTGCTTTTCTTGGATATGGATAAATGATCTCTTGTTGCAGTTATGCATGCAAGCGAAGGAATTGACCTGGTGCTCTTACCTGGTAATATAGCTTATCACTTGCTCTGTTCATGTCCACATTGCTGAAATTGAAAGTTAACTTTTTAGTTGATTTATATTATCCCTTTCTCCAGGACTTGCATTTGACAAATCTGGAAGACGCTTAGGCCGTGGTGGAGGGTATGTGAAAAAACTTCAAGTGCCTAAAGTGATATTTCTTGATTGGTTTTGCTAATTTTTTGTCTTACAAACTATTACGTGAGGTGTGAACTCCAGCACGTCTCTCTGAGTATGCTTCTTAAAAATTCCACCCTCCCTTTCTTATCAAGGAAGATAAAATGAAAATAGCGCTATGTGTTCACCTACGTTACATGAACTCTTCATTTCACCTCAGGTACCCATGTCAGACCCTTGACACTCGGACATGGGTATGACACTTGGACACTTCACTTTTGGTTCAAAACCATGGATTTTTTTTCACAAAATAGCCGAGTCGGAGCTTGGATACATACCCATGTCGAACATGGGTATCCGAGTCCATGTAACACAGGTGTTCACTAGCATTTTTCAAAAGGAAGCTCCATTGGCATAGACTACAAGGGTGAAATAGGAGAGCTACAGAGTGTAATCTTTAAGTTGGATGGTTGTGCTAATAATCTTCTAATCTTTTATGTTGCAACCTTTTGAAGTTACTATGACACTTTTCTGAGGAACTACCAACAGCTTGCCAATGAGAAGAACTGGAAACAACCACTGCTTGGTAAGTTTTATACCCCTCCCTATATCAGCTATTATATTTGTTAGGAAATTTGCGTAAAGATCTTTGGTATTGATTCATTGATTTTGTTCTGTAGTTGCTCTGTCATATTCTGTTCAAATCATGGATGATGGAGTCATTCCGATCACTCCCAATGATGTTTTTGTGGATGCTTTAGTATCTCCAACTGGTATTATTCCCATAAGCTCAGCTGCAATTCAAAGGTATCAAGTTTTATCCTTATCACCAGCGGTTGCTTTTTAATAATCACTCTGTTTATTCTAAATGCAAAACTTTGACTGGAACGGAGTAATAGCCATATAAATTAAATTGTATAATGTTTCAGGATAAAGCATGACATATGACGTTTGAGGTGCCAGTATCTCAATCTATTCGTCAGGTAGTAGTCTCGGACTCTGATGTATTCAAAGTTGCTTATGCTTAATCTCTGAAAATGAATTGTATTCTATCAAACTTTCTTGATTGGGCTGTTTAATACCCTGGCTACATAGCCTTTTTTAACTGGTATAGTACCCTCTTCATTGCTCTTTTTCATTTGAGCTGAGAAACAATGTGGTTTCGTCTGAGCATGCTACAAGGAGAGAACTTATACATGACCTTCTGCTAAAAGCCAAAATTTTTGGGTGACAGTGGAAATTGTTATTCATATATCGGATAATATACGTATTGATAGTAACTTATGTATTTTTGTGACTAATTGAGTTTAGTGTGTGAAAGCTGGATTAATCTTAAACAAAACATGAGCTTCTTCCATGTTCAAAAAGTTGAAGGAGTCGTTTACCTCCCAAGTCTCCAACCACTACAACTTACCATATCAAAATCAAGGGATTACCTATGTTCTTCCCTCAGCAATGCTAAATTTTCGTTGTAAACATCATTTGCAGCAGTCTTAATGAATAATAATATATTTTTGGATGTCCTTGACAAAGTCGCAAACATAGCCTATATAAACACCTTAATCTAATTCTTCAGACATACAAAACACCCTTCAAAATACATACTCATGGCTGCCCTACTTTGCATTGTAGTTTTCTTGCTAGCTCCTTTTCTCTCCAACGCTGCTGATCCTGATCCCTTGTCGGACTTCTGCATAGCTGACCTCAACTCCTCCCCCACGTTTGCCAACTTCCCTTGCAAGCCTACCTCAAATGTCACCTCCGAAGACTTCTTCTTCGATGGGCTGATGAAGGAAGGCAACACGTCAAATATGTTTGGATCAAAGGTCACACCTGGGAATGTTCTCACATTTCCCGCCCTAAACATGCTTGGACTTTCAATGAACAGACTTGATATTGCGCCTAATGGACTGAACCCGCCTCACACCCACCCACGATCAACCGAAAGTGGGGTGGTGATCAGTGGTAAAGTCCTAGTCGGGTTTGTGACTACCGGGAACGTATTCTACTCCAAGGTGTTGGTTCCAGGGCAGATGTTCGTGATCCCCAGGGGATTAGTTCATTTTGAGAAGAATGTGGGGAATAAGAAGGCAGTAATTATAACAGCTTTCAATAGCCAGAATCCAGGGGTAGTGGTTGTACCCACAACTCTATTTGATGCACAACCTTCAATTTCAGATGATGTTTTGAAACAAACTTTCCAAATTGATTCAAGCGTTGTCCACGGAATAGAATCCAAATTCTGAAATTTGGAACGATCATATATACTATGAAAAACTTACTATGAAGATTTCCTTCATTCTTTTTACGATATTATACGTGAATAACTGAATAAGAATTGAAGCTTTTATGCATATTATATTTATTATTAATTCAATAAATGATGTAGTTTTTTAGCTGCTGGCATACTCTTTGGCAAGATACATACATCAATAAAATATTTGAGTTGTATACGAACTTATTGTTTTGTTGTCCTAAAAAAGAAAGAAAAAAAACTTAGTGGACGTTTGGTTGGGGGGTTTAAACAAAGGGAAAGGGAATGAGAAGGAATGGATCCCCACCGCCCCCCACCGCCCTACCTTTCTCATTCCCTTTCCCCAACCACCACCATACCACATCAGCCGGTTGCTTGCTGCACCTCCCCCGGTTTACCCAAAAAATAAATTTTAATCCATAATTATACCAAACTCACATGGTTTCATTCCTAATTCCAACCCCATATCAGTTTACAAACCAAATGCCTCGATAAAAAATAACAAATTTAGCTTCCTCAATTTTCGCTTTTACTATTTCTACTTTTTTTTTTTTTTTTTTTTTTTTAAACTGTGTATGAGTACCCAATATTTTGCACTAAAATTATTTTTTTTTTTGAAGAATAAAATCAAATATTTAGCATAGGTTTTTTTTAAAAAAAATAAATTTATAATCACGTATCCCTATGTGGCACCGCTACATCTCGCAATTTCTACCCTACTCCTGGAGTACCGTGAGCATGATACTCCTAGACATTAGGTATATAGTCACCTCCCTCTATTATCCCTTCCTCTTCCTTGTTTTTTTCCTTTTTCTTCCTGCTATACTTATTTTCTCTATATTTTTTTCAATTTATGTGAATTCAATCAATTTTTTCTTCCAATTGCAATTTTTGTAACTTAAAAACAACAATAGTGTTTTTTTTTTTTATTATTTATTTTTTAATAGCAAAAACAGCAATAGTTTAAAATTGAATAACATAAGATATGGTTTATTTGAATATCGTATGTTTAAAACAAAATAACAATAACTTGATAACTGGAATACCTTAAACTTCCACTAAAAATAACATTAGACGATATTAAACAAAATAACAATAACTTAACTCAAAGGTTAAGTAGAATAACAAAAGGATACATTAAAATAACAAAACAACAAAAAAGAGTATTATGGTTAATGACCCCTTGAAGAACAAGGAAGAGCATAAGAGTAGTATGGTTAATTGAAGCCGCCAAGAATGTCACGAATGTTACGTACATAACTATACCGATGAAAGCGAGAATGATCGATGTTGCTATAAGGATTATTTAGCTTTTCCTTAAGCATATAGTTTTGTTACCATTCAAAATAAAGTCTCTAGTTTCTTGAATTGACATTATTTAGTTCAAGATTATGTTATATTTTTATTAGACGCCGATATTAATGTTTATTTCATTACATTGTATTGAAAGTTACATTAAAACTATATCCATCAATGGATTTTTAATAGATTAGAGGAGACCATTTGAAGAAGATTGGCATGAAAGGTGGAATTATTTAAAAATAATCAAAAAATAGGATTTATTTTAACGGATCGAACGTCTCAAAGGTCGGCTTATTTCGGAAAAAAATTTCAAAATTTCCCATCAATTTCACGTTTCCTTTCATGAATCACATCCCTGTCAATTAATTTTTTCCTATGGCTGATGATTTATTAAACGATTTCGAGAAGATTAGATTGACAGAGGAGGAATCGAAGGTAGTTGGTGCAAGTTCGATTGTTGCAGATGATGAAGACTCGAAGAACTAGATTGCTCTATCCCTAATAGGGAAACTCTTTACTACAAAACCCTTTAATGTTGAGGCGATGAAGCGAACACTGACGTCGGTTTGGAGGTTGCATGATAAGGTTATGATCAAGATGGTGGAAACATATCTCTTCGTCTTTCAACTTATTAGGGAGATAGACAAGGAACGAATCCTGGATGGAAGTCCATGGTTCTTTGACGGGAAACTTCTTCTCCTTAAGGAAATTGACGGTGATGAACAGCCATCGGAGGTGGTTTTCAGGTATGCCCCTTTATGGATTAGACTATTGGACATTCCTTTCAATAAACGAAACAGGAAAACTTTAATCAAAATAGGTGACTCTGTGGGTGTTTTCCTGGAGCTTGATGAGAATGATCCGTTGGGATGGGAGGAGTTTATGAGGATGAAAGTTATGTTCGACATTGAGAAACCGTTGCACAGGGGTCTCTTTCTGGCCACTGGAGATTCGTCTTCGAAGTGGATATCCATAAAATATGAAAGATTGGAAGATTTTTGTTTCTTTTGTGGGAGACTAGATCATACTGAAGGTGGGTGTGATTTTAAGGATGGAATAAGGGAGGGGTGTGACGAGGTTGTGTTTCAGTATGGTCCCTGGTTAAGGGCATCTCCTAGGAGAATACCTAAGAAACCTGAAGTCGAAATTGCAAAGGAAAGGAGGTGGAAAGAAGGGCTGCTTTCGACAAAGAAGGGTCATGTACCATGTCACAATGATGCAGGGACTGTGAAACTTGGTCCTCCAGGGGCTTCTCGAAAGTTGAATTTCCCAACCCCCAAGGAGAAGGAGGCTGTGTTGGTGAGTGTCATGGATCCTAGGACCTCTAAAAATGTTTTACGACTCAAGAGCCTGGTTGATACTTCTCAAGATGATGGGGTATGTGCAGAGAAGGAAGCAGGTCTTAGAGAGGAAGAGCAAGCTATTTTTGAGAACTCTTATGCCTCTACTAATGTTGTCGAGATGGACCATGACTCATCTTCTCAGCCGGCATACCAGAAACGCAAGGCTAGAAGACTAAGGAATGATAGGGAACGTGCAAGTAAGATGGATGGGGGTGATACTTTACTTCGGGGTAGTACTATGAAGAGAAACTTAGATGTTTTTTCACATGAGGAGCTGAGTACAGACCTTCACCAATCAGTGAAGAAAGCTAAAACCACTTCCTTCCTTTTCTCGGGAGAAGTAGCAAGTCAAGTAGGGGGTGTTGGAGAAACCCAACCCCCTGAACAGAAATGAAAATTATTTGTTGGAATTGCCGAGGGGCGGGCAACCCTCGAGCAATTCGAGCACTCCGTCACTGGAGTAGTAGTTTGTGCCCGGATATAATTTTCTTGTGCAAAACGATGATTAGTAGTAAGCGTTCGGAAATGCTAAAACAGAAATTCGGCTTCTCTATGTCTCTTGGGGTGGATAGCAGGGGTAGGTCGGGGTCTGTGTTTATTTTGGAAGGAAGGGGTTCATTTCTCTTTAGTCTCGTACTCGGATCATCACATCTGTGGGAATATTACTGAAGATGGGGGTCGATTATGGAGATTTTCTGGCATATACGGGTGGGCAGATAGGCCGTCAAAGTATAGAACTTGGGAGTTAATGCGTGAGCTCTTCCTTGCTTCCCCCCATCCCATAGTGTTTGGAGGGGATTTTAATGAAATTCTCAGTGCTAACGAGAAGTTGGGTAGACCTTTGCGTGACCAGGGAGATATTGATGCCTTCAGAAGTGTACTTGATGATTGTCATATGCATGATTTGGGCTATGAGGGCTCGTGGATTACGTGGGAACGTGGAAATGACCCTCAGAGTGTTGTTAGGGAAAGACTAGACAGGTTTGTCGCTTGTTCCCGTTGGTGCTCATGGTTTGATAAGAACTCGGTGGTCCATTTAACTAAGTTCCAATCCGATCATATTGGTATATTGCTGGACACGGATCAGAAAAAAGCAAAGAAGAAGACTCTCAAGAGGAGAAAGTTTAGGTTCAAAACCTGTTGGTTGCTTGAAGAAGGTTTTGAAGAGGTAATCAAAGACTCTTGGGACAAATTGAGCCATCTGGATATGCCCAACAAACTATGGCATATTGCACAAGACATAACTAAGTGGAGCAAGGATGATTTTGACAATTTAGGCGAGAAGATTGCTGAGACCGAGGAGAAGTTGAAGGAAGCCCAGCAAAAGGCGAGGAATCCAGCTCATTTTTCCGAATGTAGTAGGATGGAGAACATCCTTAATGATCTCCATGAAAAAAATGAGGCTTATTGGTTTCTTCGTTCTAGGGTATCGGAAATTAAGGACGGGGATCGTAACACAAAATATTTCCACCATAAGGCTGCCCAAAGAAAGAGCAAAAATTATATTAAGGGCCTTAATAACAGTGAAGGTGAGTGGTGTACAGGGAAGTCCAATGTTGAGAGTATTACCCTCGATTTCTACAGGTCACTGTTTACTAGAGGTGAGTTAAATGAAGAGTTAATAGATGAAGTTCTGGCCAATGTTCCCACCATGATTTCGGACAGCATGAATCACTCCCTGTGTCGGCCTTACCCCAAAGAGGAGGTGTACTGTGCTTTATCTCAGATGGGTCCCTGTAAGGCTCCTGGTCCAGACGGATTCCATGCTATCTTTTACCAGAAATTCTGGCATATTGTGGGGGATGACGTTACGACTTTTGTCAACAACTTAATTCTGGGAAGACTTCCTTTGGACAGCATAAATGTCACAAACGTGGCCTTGATACCGAAAGTTCAAAATCCCACCTGTATTTCACAATTTAGACCAATCTCTCTTTGCAACGTCCTCTATAAATTAGCCTCTAAAGCTGTGGCTAACAGGCTAAAACCCCTCCTCCATACAATGGTCACAGAAAATCAAAGTGCTTTTGTCCCGAAACGCTTGATTACAGACAATTCCCTGATAGCTCTTGAACTCTTTCATACTATGAAAAAGAGGTCTAAAGGTAGACAGGGGATGGCAGCAATGAAGTTAGATATGAGTAAGGCGTATGATCGGGTGGAGTGGGAATTTCTGAGACGGCTTTTGATCAAGCTAGGTTTTGCGGGATGCTGGGTTGATACCATCATGTCCTTTGTTTCTACAGTGTGATACTACTTCATTATCAATGGCATCCCTTCGGATCATCTGACTCCGTCTAGAGGTCTTCGTCAAGGTGATCCTATCTCCCCTTACTTGTTCATTTTGGTTGCTGATGTTTTGTCTAGAATGTTACAGACGGCTTCGGAATGAAATTTGATCCATGGAGCCCGGGCTAGTAAGAATGGTCCGGAGATTACTCACCTGTTTTTTTGCAGATGATAGTCTTTTGGTTGCTAGAGCCACCCAGGAGGAATGTTCAGTCATTGTTGACATTCTTAATAAATACGAAGCAACTTCCGGGCAGAAATCAACTTAGATAAATCTGAGGTGTCTTTCAGCAAAGGGGTCCAGTTAACATCTCGTGTAACGCTTAGCTCGATTCTTGGTATGGGAATGGTTGAAAATCACACCAAATATCTTGGGCTGCCAACTGACGTTGGTAGAACAAAGAAAATGATTTTCAACTTTGTAAAGGATCGTGTTTGGAAGAAAGTTCAAGGTTGGAAGGAGAAGCCTTTTGTCTAGAGCAGGGAAAGAGGTCCTCCTAAAGTCCGTTGTCCAAGCCATCCTGACCTACCTGATGGGTGTGTATAAATTCCCATCGACCCTTATCCAGGATATTCATGCTATGATGGCTCGGTTTTGGTGGGGTTCGGATGAGAGAGGTAGAAAGGTCCATTGGAAGAGCTGGATGTCCCTATGTCAACCCAAATGCTTGGGAGGTATGGGCTTTAGAGATTGGGAGGTCTTCAATGTTGCACTCCTGGGGAAACAATTGTGGCGCCTGGCCACTCATGAGACCTCTCTGGTCAGTCGTGTGTATAAGGCAAAATATCATCCCCGTACGACTATCTTAGAGGCATCATTAGGTCCAACCTCGAGCTATACTTGGAGGAGTTTGTGGAGTTCGAAAGCGCTCATAAAGGAAGGCACGTTGTGGAGGGTTGGAGATGGTCGAAAAATAAAAATCTGGTCGGATCCTTGGCTTATAGACGATGAGAATCGCTTTGCTACAACTGCTGAGAATGTCGAGATGTGTTAATATGTTGATGAGCTTATTGATAAGGAAAATCGGAGTTGGGATTTGCAAAAAATTGAGGGTATTTTTAATGATCGTGATAAGCAGGCTATATTGGCAATCCCATTGAGTGACCGGCTGTCGGAGGATGTTCTCACATGGGCATGGTCTAAGGATGGACATTACAGTGTTAAAACCGCTTATGCACTAGCTAAATCACTGGACCTTGATAATTTTGAGCAATATTGGGTGGAGATATGGAAGGAAAATGTCACTCCGTAAGTAAGACATTTCCTTTGGAGGTGTTGTACAAACACTCTGCCCTCAAGAAGCCTTCTGCATTACAGACATATGACAGAGGATCCTCAATGCCCTTGCTGCACCTCAGTGACAGAGACAGCTCTGCATGCTACGGTTCTATGTCCCAGCTCTCATGATTTGTGGTTGCGAAGTGGATGCCAAGCAGCCCTCCCCCTTGTCTCCTCAAACTCTTTCGGAGAGGTAATTCTCAACTGGGCAGAGCACCTCACTCCTGAGTTATACCAGCGGAGCTTGTTCCTTAGTTGGTTCATATGGTTTCGGTGCAATAGATGGATCTTTGAGAATGCTTGGGATCCGGATGAAGCCATCCTACACAGGCATAGCAAGCTTGTTGTCGACTTTGACGAGTACACGAGAAAGATCTATGGGAGTTCAGCTTCTCCTACTGCTCCGTCCAGTAGAAAGATTTGGGAACCACCCCCTCCAGGTATTATCAAAGTCAATGTAGATGCGAGGGTCTCTAATGATGGTTGGATAGGGTTGGGCACTGTTGCTCGTGACTGCACAAGTAGTGTTCTGTTCTCGGCTGTTTGCAGGCACAAGGCTCGATGGGATCCCTTAACTGCCGAAAGCAAAGCCGCCTGGTACGGGTTACATAAGGCAGTAGAGTATGGTTTCAATAATATCATACTTGAGGTAGGTTCTTTGGTGTTGGTCAACAAGCTAAAGAAGAAATCGTTTACTCTAGCAGCAGTTGATAATGTTTTGGAGGACATCGTCTTTGCTAGCGCCAGCCTTTCTTCCATTGTTTGGTCTCATGTTAAACAGGATGGGAACTTTGTAGCCCACCACTTAGCAAGATTAGTCCCTTATAATCATGAACAAGTGTGGGAAAACTCCGTACCGAACGAAGTTTCCTCGTATGTCTTGTTAGACTTCCTTTCTATGAATTAATGAAATCCTACTGTTTTGTTCAAAAAAAAAAAAGTGCAACGCAAGTATATATTGTTTAGTGTTGAAAGATGAAACTAAACTTGGTGTAAACCATGTGTACAGTGTACTTGCGCAGCTAGTAAGTTCAGGTCTTAATCCTAAACTATATTGTTTAGTTTTTCTTTTAAATTAATTAATACCTAGTTTAATTTCTTGAATTGTAATACTTTAATTTAATGCTTTAATAAAATTCTCTCTATGGTCCGTTAAATAACTGAATTTAACAAGTTTTTTTTTTTTTTTTAAATTACTGTATTATTTTTATTTTATTGTAACAAGTAATATATATTCCCTTAGTCCCCTTTTTTTTTTTTTTTTTTTTTTTTGCCCCATAGTAAATATTTAGGTCAAACTTTGAAAATTTTGATCATAAATTCTTTCGAATGTATAAAAGATACTATAATCATGTGAGAATCTAATTGGATTCGTTTTATTGTATAATTGATCAACATTGAGGATTTTTTTTTTTAATTTGTACTATACAATTATGATAATGGATAAATATGCATTTAAACGCATATTAGAGACCCTAAAAAGTTAAATGGGACAAAGATATAAACAAAGAGTAGTGAATTATACACTACATTAATCATCGCTCGTCATCTCGAGTATATGGTTCTCTTGACTTCTTGATGTAGAAATGTACACAATCGGGAGACTTTCAAAGGAAAAAGCCAACGAAGTAAGAAAACTTATGACCCTTTCCTTTTCCCTCCACCATCCGTGCACATTTGCATCGCCACCTTCTTCCACCACCCACTTTCGCTTACTCAGCCCGTGCAGCCGCGCCGCACGGCCTCCATCTCCCTCTCTCTCCTCCCTCTGCGGCTGACGGTGGCAAAATTGGCAGTTCCGGCGATGTTTCTGCTACTGAACTGGACCCCATTTTTCGATCCAAAGTAGACTGAAGAACCAAAGAGAAGAGCAGCAACAAGAGGTAGGATCCACAAGAAGCGAGGGTCGTGTTTGGGGCCGATTATAATTGGGCTGCACACAAGCATCAAGCCTATGAAGAAAAGCATATGTCCAAATATTTCCAACCATTTGACTTTGATATTCAAACCGAGAACCATTAAAGATATGGACACCAAGAATATGAGCACTTCAGCTCGTGACACTGATTCAAAGCTCTTCATTTCAGATACCATGAAGACTCCCCCAACAGCAAGAGGGAAGAGAATCTTGGTCATCAATCTTGTAGTATCATCAGCTCTACGACCGCTATAATCGCGGTTAGATGAGTGTCGAGGAGTGATGCCAGTATTGGTAGCTTCGACATTGCAAACTACCTCTGGAGGCACACAAGGTGGAGGAGGAGGAGGTGAAGGCTCCTCTACAATGCCATCACATTCCTCCACCTCCAGTGAACACTCTTCACTTGAATACTCGGCTCTTGATTGTTTAGAAATAACTGTAACGGATGACGGAGAAGATGATGATATTAATTCTAAGCAACTCATTTTTTTCTTTTCGAGGACTCGAACCTGTTGGAAGTCCGGGGGCCTGATCATGGAAATAATTAAAAGAGTGATGAAAATTGGGGGGGTGTGAAGAGTGGTATTTATAGTGGTTGTGAAACAAGGGTGGGCAAAAAAGAAGGGAGGGAACAAAAAGAAGAGGAGGGAAGAAAAAACGCCGTTTAATTATAAAGAATAAACTAAAATATGGACCATATATTGAACTTCTTACGAGAGCATATATTGTACTTTGTTTTGTGATGTACTGATGTGTACTAGAGATTGCCAATTGTTTCCACGTGAGATGGGCTTTGCGCCGCCTGACCGCCTCCATGCAAAGTTCAAGATTAAAGAGTGAAAAAAAGTGGGGTAATTATTGGATGAATGGCTGCGCATCATTTAGACTACCAGCATTTAAATTTGGAGGGGATTAAAATGGGAATCCTAAATGGGAACGAATCACCTTAAGAATCTCATTCTTTTTCTACAAAATTGATGGTGTTAAATTAATTTTTTTTCTTTTTTTTTAAAAAAATTATTTTAATTAAAAGTTTATTTTTAATTATTTAACAATGGGTAATTCCAAGTTTCTCATCTTGATTAACAATAAATGTATCACATGGGGATGATTTCGTCATTGCAGCCTGGGAGTTAGGGGTTTAATTGTCTTTCCATGAATATGTGTTGTCTGATGTATAGTCTAACGTGTATGATAGATGACAGATGTTCTGTTGCGTTAACGAATACTGATTGGGGGATTTTTATCCCGCCACGTGGTCCAATCATGACACTCCATATGACACCCACGTGGACCAACCAGATTCCGCCACGTGTCACTTTGAGAAGAGTCCAAAGTAGACCAATCATATTACGACATGTGGTAGAAAGATTGCCAACTAGGAAAGGCCTAAACTCCTGAGCAAGCCTAGTTAGTCCTAGGTTTCTGTAACCTAGTACTGGGCACGTACTTCGAGACCCTATAAAAGAGAGATATTCCCCTTCGGGAACATACATTCACAAACTTCTAAACACACGTGTACATTAGTTGTTGAGCATTAACTACAGCTTTAATTGCACTTCTTGAGAGTTAAGGCTCGGATATTGAGGTTGTCTGATAGCCGGATGATCACTTCTCTTCCGAGAGGAGCCCGATCCCATTTACTTTTCAGCACTTTACATCTTTCGAACACGTTCTAATTAACTTGATCGTCGGAGGCGGAACTCCCACCAACCGGAGTCTCCGTTGTTTTGCAGGTACAGGAGCCCGGAAACCAGTCTCACTACTAGAAGTAGGTCGTTTTCCGAAAGAATCGTTCCGACATACCTAAATTCCGTCGGAAAATTCGAATTTTCCGACGGAATTATGGTTTGTCTGAAAATTCCGTTGGAAAAGGTACGTTACGACGGAAAATCCCTCAGAATTCTTGCGACGGAATTAACAGCTTTCGACGGAATATTCCGTCGGAGATTTAAATTTCCGACGAAAAAAAAACTCGTCAGAAATTAATTAAAAAAAAAACCTACCCTCTTAACCCTAAACCGACAACCCCCTTCCCCTTATTTCATTTTCTCTATCTCTCTCCTTCTGCTACTACTTTCTCTCTCCTCTTCTCTGCGCCTTTTCTCCTTCTTCTTTCCCTTTCTCCGTCTTCTTTTTTCCCTTTCTTAGTATTCTTCTCTTCTCCTACTCTCTCCTCTTTCCCCCTTTTTCTCTCTTCTCGATCTCCTTCTCTACTCCTCTCTGCCATCACCGTACCGACATCAACAACAACAACACCACTGCTTCTCTGCTCCTCTTTGCCATCACCGACATCAACATCAACAACAATTTCCGACATAAACATCAACAACAATTTTCGCCCTTTCTCTCTGTTCTCTTGCTAAAAACAAAGGTTTTCAAGTCAAATTCGACCACAAAAACTCTAGATCTAGAGTTTTCATGGTCGAATTTGGCCTCGTAAACCCAATTTCGAGGTTTTGTGTGGTCGAATTAAGGTATGTATCTTTTTTTTTATTTTGTTATTTAATCGGATTTTGTTTAATATATATGGTTGTGATGGGTGGTGGCTACTGGAGTTTGATGTTAGGGGTTGGGTTGGGATTTTAATTTTTTTTCTTATTTTTTTTTTTGTTAATTTTTGGGCTGTGATGGTTTGTTTCGGCGACAGCGGCGGTGGTTTTAGGTGGGTGGTGGGGTGGTTTGCTTAGGATGGGTGGTTCGGCCGAATTTGTTAGGGTTAGGGTTGTAGATCTGGGTTTGTTTGGGTGGGGTTCATTTGGGTGGTAGATCTGGATTGGGTGGGTTTGGGTTGGGTGGGGAATCTGGTGGTGGGTTAGGGTTCAGTGGTGGTCGTGGTGGGTTAGGGGGTGGCTAATGGGGTTACGGTGGTGGGGTGGGTTGGGGTTATGGTGGTATGTTCTGGTGGGTGGGGGTGGTGGGTTAGGGGGTGGCGGTGGAGTGGGTTGGGGTGGTGAGCAGGGGTGTGTGCAGTGGTGGATCTGGGTGGGGTAAGGGTTAGGAGTGGGGATGTTTTTTTTCTTTTGTTTTTTCTTATTGACTTTTTCAGACGGAAATTTCCGACGGAATATACCTCTTCCGACGAAAATTTCCGTCGGAAACCTCTCCAACTCCGACGGAAATTTCCAACGGAATTTCAATTAAAGTCAAAAAAAGCGCCGACAGAAATAAATCCGTCGGAAACTAGCCTTCCGACGGAAATTCCGTCGGAAAAGGCCGAATTTCCTACAAAGGGTTTTGCGACAGACTGATTCCGACGGAATTCTGTCGGAAGACCATTTTTCGACGGAATTTCCGATGTTTTCGACTGATTTTTTCCGTCGGAATCAAGTTGTTTTCTTGTAGTGTCTTGGAATTGTAACTCTCTCGAAAGAAACAGAAAATACCCTGAAACATTTGGCGCCGTCTGTGGGGAGAGTACTTCTTAGATGGCTTCACAAGAACCTTGTACCACCTCCTAAAGAGAAACGGCATATGGCCGACGCTCGAGTCTATACAGACCAAGATACTGATGACGACTGCAAAGTCGAAACACATATGGCCCATGACTAGTCACTCACATCTAGGCGCATCCGTCCCTTTGAAAGAAGGGAACAGGATGATAATAAAGCAGGTCCAAGCCAACTATCTGGACAGCCGTCTGGTCTACCCAGGGTGGCCGAAGGCTCCGCCCCTATCATCAGAAACGAGCTCATGACCCTGATGACAAGTTTCAAAGGGGAGATTAAGGACCTGATTGATAAGCGGACGGCTGTCTCCACCAAGGAACAGTCGGCCAAAAAGCCCTCCCAGTCTGGGAGGAACAAGTCGGTCAAGGACCGAGAGGCCACTCCTTACTAAAGCTGGGCACGGGCCGGGATGGCCCGTGTACCGCCCGGCACGGCCCGATGTTCGACGCAGCATGGCACGGCCCGAACCCAGGCCCAGCCATCGAATTTCGTGCCACGGGCCATGCCACGGACAGCATCCGGCCGGTTTTCCAGGCA